TTTAAAAAAAAAATGAGCTTTATTAATTGAGCTTGTAGAGTCATTAAAAACAAACACCCCCTCTGGACATCAATTTTGGCCACTATTGTACACACAGAGTGCCCAGTGTCATTTTCTATACAATGAATTTATTAGGTGAAGAAAATATCTAGACTAATTTATATTCACTCTTAATCCATGATTTTTCCTCACCTGTCCCTTTCCAGGATTCTCTTTTGGGATCAATAAGGATACCACTGTGCCATACTTCTGACATTCTTCTTTCATGTCCTCTATTATATCTAAGAAAGACAAGAAGTAAATGTGACTGAGATCTGCTAAAAAAAAAAAAAGTGTATTTGCCATAAAGAAAATGTAGAGACAAAGACTCGCCTTCATACTCATCCTCATTATACAGGTGACTGTCATCTATTACGTTTAGAAGTCTCAGGACAGATGTAGGCAGACTAACCAAATCTTCAATATGAGGTGCTGAAACCCAAAGCAGTCTCTCACTCACACAAACACCAAGCAATGCAGACAATGCTTTTAGATGCTGAGTGATACAAACCAAAGGGAATGCTGAAGAACGGGTTGAGTAGTGCTGCCTCAGCTGTGCTTCTGAGTTTCGGGTCATTGTGAAGCATACTGGGAATGTAAAGATACATATTACTTACTCTAGTCATGTCTAAAGAACACACAACTGCACTGCTTAGTTTACTTCCTACCTTTTGATCAGATCCCTCAAATGATAGACAGGGATAGCCGGGTAAACCAAAGCATTGCTTGAAAAGATATGGTCTACTATTGCAGAACTGTTATCCTGTAGAGACACAACACAATCATATTTTAGCAAGAACAACATTACGGTCAAATTACATTACACAGAGAAAATTTTGAAAGCAAATTGTTATTAAAATAAATAACATTCAAGGTCTATATTCAAGGTAGAGTTCAGCTTCAAGGCTGCTTGGGCATATCTGCTGACCTTCCATTCCTGAGACTTCACAGTTTCTTTCAGTTTGATTCCTGAGAACATCTCCAGAAGAACGATGCCCAGACTCCACATGTCCACAGCAGTTGTGCAGCCAGTGTCGCTCTGCAGACCTGCCTGGGCCAGTGAGTTCTGCAGCTCAGCTTCAGGTGCCCGGTATCCATCTGTCTGGATGTACTTCACATCCTGTGCGGAACAGACAAGAAACCCTGAGGCTCACTGCGAACCTATATCTAAAAATAAGACACATTAATGCTAAACTACCATTCAAAAGTTTGCAATCTGTAAGATTTTGATCTTTTTTGAAGAAATGAATGCTTGCATAGAATTGAAAATGTAATACTGTCCTTTTGAGCTTACTATTAAAGGTAGGGTAGACACTTTTTGTTATACTGGTTGAAACTCTCTTCACATCCTGATAGCAATCAATAATAGAAGTGGTCTAAATATTACAAAATGTACATATATCTTCTGGACCAAAAAATATTTGTCTAATCTTTGCATTCGGTCGCTATGTCGTAACCGTAATTACGAGATGGCAACCCGTGACTCGTATTGATGCGTTTCTATGGCAACACTGTCAATGCTGAAATGAAGCTGCAGCAGTCAGGCGGTACAAGTCAGAGCTCTGTAAGTTGTTTACGTTCATTATTATTGTAATGTTATGTGCTTTGAGGTAATTTAACGCTGTCTCTCGTGACACTGCAGAATCATATCTGGCTGTGCTCGCTCATGTGTTTTGGAGGAGGCGTGGCTTTGGAGACGCTCTGGAGGGAGAGTGGGATCTTATGCTTTCAAAGCTAGATTGCTATTGCTATCCTCTCTGAAATTGCCTACCCTACCTTTACTCAAATAATCCTGAAAAAAAATTTGTATCACAGTTTCCAAAATATATAAGGCAGCACGACTGTTTTCAACATGTTTTCTTGAGCACCAAAATCAGAATTGTATAATGATATCTGAAAGATCATGTGACACTGAATACTGGAGTAATGGCTGCTGAAAATTCAGCTTTGACATTTTCAAATATATTTTAAAATACATATTATATAAAAGTCTTAAATTCTAAAACGACAGTAAATAAACATCTCCAGAGAGGTTTTGACAAACATTTTGGATGAGACACAGATTGTGGCTTTTGTGTTAATAATAATAAAGTTATTTCACAATATTACTGTTTTACTGTATTTGTAATAAATGCAGCCTTTCTGAGCATAAGAGACTTTTCAAAAATATTTAAAAATCTTACCGACACCAAACTTTTGACCTTTAGTGTTTGTTAAATTCTGACAGCAAATGATGAGGTGTCTCATGCCAACCCTTTCAACTCCTCACCTGGTGTCCCTCTTTGAAGCTAAGGCCGAAGTCAATGAGCTTAAAGCACTCATCATCAGCGCTCCAGAGAATGTTGCGGGGCTTGAGGTCAGCATGCACATAGCCTTCTCCGTGCAGGAAGCTAAGGGCCTCCAAAACATCACGGGCACAGTGCTGAATCAACCACATGGAGTGTCCCTGATTACTCGCCCTGACCAGCAAATCTGACACACTCACGTCCAAAAGCTCCAACAACAGGCAATGAGTGGCCACACCGAATGGGTTGTGATTGGTGAACATTCCATACAGCGCCACTAGAGACACAACAGAGAAAATACCAATGTTAAACTTGGGATTAATGCTGGAAAATAACAGCTTTTGGATCTCCAGTAGGGCTGGAAAAATCTGACATAAAAAGTTTGTGTTTATATAATATATACTGTATATATATATATATGTGTGTGTGTGTGTACACATATGTATGCATATAAATAATATATAAATATATATGTGCATGTATATGCATATGTATGTGTATATATATATATATATATAGTATATATAAATATAATAATATATATACACATATATTATATAAACACAAACTTTTATGTTAGATGTGATATTGTGATTCATTGATTTTACAGCCCTATCCAGGAGTAATGATCACTATGGTAAATTATGTTGCAATTTTACATTCAAGTTTTAAATGCCAGTGTGCTCCTCTTCTGCATTATTAATATATATATGAGTCATGACCATATTAACTATAAAAATACATAACCAAGCAAATTAAACTTTGATCCCCGGTTTCACAGACAAGGCTTAAACCTAATCCCGGACTAAGATGCATGTGCTGTTTTATATTTGTTTGATCTTTTTGCTCTTACAATTATTTAGACATGGATGAGCAGGATGTGTGTGGTCAATACTACAATTTGTGTAACAATCATGGTGTTAAAAGGGCCCAAATAATGTTACGTCACAATTTTTGAAGGTTTTTACTTTTGTGTAATGGGGGGAAGTCACACAGTAGTTTACTACAAAGAACTGAACATAAATAATTATGTCATTTTGCATGATTTTAATACCAATATAGTGGTATAGAGCTGTTTAAATCAGTGGTTCCCAACCTTTCTGACTTCACTTCCCCCTTTGTCCAAGACAATATTTGAAAATCCCTCATATCCATGCTGATATGTACGTATGGCTGTTGTAAAAAAAAAAAAAAAAAAATGTAATAAAAACTCAAAAATATGATGTCAGTTTTATGTTCTCATAAAACATCTCTTTTTTTGTTTTTTAATTAAGATTATGTTAATTATAACTTATGTTAATGATAACTAAATGTAAATAATTTTGGGCCGCCTGGAAGTGTGCAGAGTGGCCCCCGCCCCCCTGGTTGATAACCACTGGTTTAAATCTGTTTCTTAGCTGGTCTTGATCCCTGTACGTGGTTACCGATATTTTTATGTCCCTGAATCTTCTCCAGCACAGAGCTTTCCTTCAGGTACCCGTAATCTCCACCCTGCGCGTCCGCCTGAAACTCCTTCACTGCGGAACTCGCTCTGCCGGAGCTCACCCGGTACACCGAGGCCGAGACGCCCTGACCCAAACGAGCCTGCACGTTCCAGTTCTTTCCGTAAATCTCAAATAACGCCGGGCTTGTCAACTGATCCACGGCCCCCGGGCTCACCGTCGTCCCCGGTGTGCTGACACTTGGACTGGACATTTTTGCATTGGAGCCAGAACTGCTAGCCATAAGTAATATCAATGATAATGTGAGTTAAATACTATCAGGTTCATAATAAGTAGTGTTTGCTTCATTAGTTGCCCTTTGCAGAAACTGATCTTTGCATGGTGCTTGTCTGAAAGCCAAAGTTTACAGCTGAGGTAACTATCAACGGATGACGAACAAGGACTTAAATGCACTATTTTAATGTAAACGCATAAATTGGTGCTATCTGCCGCACCATAGTCGCATCTTAAAGATCCGAAAAGCCGAGGTGGCGTCTCAGAGATTCAGCGAATCCATGAAACCCAGTTCTGGACCGAGTTGATAAATTCTTGCCACTGTTTTGGTGGCCATGATACCGGAAATGACGACATTGTTATTAAAAGCCGTGTTTTCTTCGATCGAGCAAATGTAAAATTTGAATCTTTAAATTCTATATTTAAAATGTAGGGCATTTAAATCCATATAATATAGTGCTTTTTGTAAAGTCTCTTTAATACAGTCCATTAAATAATGGATAATGTTGTAAATTGCAATATTATTAATCCATTATTAATCCTTTTTTCTCTCTCTCTTTCGGAATGATATTATAGTATCGTTGTTATGGATATTTAAAAAGAAAAAAAAATTCCCCTAATTATATGAATTAAAGTAGTAGCTACATTTGTATGATATTAAAATTAATCAATTCAATAAATAATTCATTTATTGTTGTTAAATTTGGCTCTCCACAATGTGCCTTCAAAATGACAAATCTAATGAAAAACGTAGGTTAATTTATTATTACATCTGGAACTTTGGGCAAATAAATGAATCGATTAAATCCGTTGCGTTGTAAGTCCCGCCCTTAACCTGATGTCTGTCTCACTATTGGCTACGATGATATGAATGACAACTCGCCTGTCTATTCACGGGCTGCATAGAGGCAGGAAAATGGGATATGGGTGGGGGAAAGTAGCGCGTTTCATTGTTTCCGTGTGTGTCCTGCCCCTGCCACGTCAGTCTGACGGTTATCGGAGGAGGATCTCATCCCGGGTAGTGAAGGAAGGCGGTGCTCTCAGGAGATGTAGCCGTGTCTTTAGTCCTACTACTGAAGTGAGAGGGAAGTATTGAATGATCAGCAGCTGCTCCAAAGGTAAGAATATTATGATGTTGTTAAATCACCGTCATAAAACATTTCGCAAGGCCTGGCTCGGCAGAGAGCTTAACTGTTGTCAAGGAGGCGGTCCACGCGACAGTGGTATTCCTCGCAACTCTTTATCAAACACTACTTTATTACCAGTCTATCGATTTGTGTTTGAGGACACAAATGGGCCAGATATGAGTAATTATTACATCTGAATACGATATGTTTCTTTTTATAAATGGTATGACAAATGTTGATACCTTAAGGAAAAATTGGAATAGGAATTTTTGGAGGAGGTTTGTTCTTAAATCAGGAACAGGGGATTGTGTCAATCTTTAATCAAACTTGATTATCTATCAAACTTGGTCTATGTTGAGTCCCTGCCCATCAAAAATTATGTTGATCTTTGAGTAAAGGTAAAGATCACACCTGACCTTAGACTTGGCCTACCTTGAGTTTATTTGATTGAGCACGTACACAGAGTGGTTATCAATTTATTGGTGTGATAAAATGGGTGGATCTCCCAGGAGTTCTAGAGATCCTTGGATAATCAGTGTCACTTTTCTTTTGCCTCTGTTCCACCTCTGACTCGTCCAGATCTAACGGAGAGACCATGGACATCAGCAAACTGGCTGAGAGACTCGCTGAAGCCGGGCAGTCTCATGTCCTCCAGTTTTGGGATCAGCTGAACCCAGAGGATCAAGCTGAGATTAGTGTCGATCTGGAGAGCATGAACTTCATGGAGATCAATAGCTTCTTTAAAACGGCCATGAAGACATCTGGGCAGAGCTCCCAGGAGAAAGTAGACACCAGGATGGAACCGGTGCCTCGGGAACATTTGGGGAGTGTAACACGTGATCGTGAAAGTCTTAAAGAATGGGAAGAAGAGGGTGAGTTCAGATATTGTAATGTTTCACAGGACTTCATCTCAAACATAAAAGTGCCCTGAGGTCCTTTGCTGGTTTACGTGGGTTTAACTGCTATCTCAACCTGGCCAAACTGGGGTTTCGCAGGTCAACCAGTTGGTTTTCCATCCTGGCCAAGTGACAAATGCCCCAAACCTGAGCAAAACAGGCTGGGAGACCAGATACCTTTTTTTCCAGCAGAATTTTAGGCCATTTACAATGTCGAAGCAGGTTATGTTTAATTTAATATAACATGAATGTCATAGTAATTTTTGTTAGTCTTTGTTGAGCAGAAACAAATGTTGCGAAGAAATATTGCACGACAAAACACAGTGAATGATGCAATATCTTTAATGCCAAATTGGACCCCTAAGAAATAATGACCCCTGAGAGATTTCTCTCCATTGTCAAGCCATTCTGTAACAATAAGTTTCAGATTTGAATAAACTTTGTTTTGTCCCTGTACTCCATTTTTGGGAGGATGCTCCAAAAGGGGTTGAAAACATCTGGTTCTGGTTAGATCTGACGCAATTTCTTTGCTTAAGTCATGTTGAGCTCATTCAGAATCACATCATCTTTAATCCGACCACATTGTATGGTACCCAAAACCTTCTTTGTTCCTTCTGTCTTCTTTGTCCCATTAATTTTTTTTTATTCATTTAATTCAATCATTTTGTTTTTAATAATTCACATGAAAGTTAAATTTGATCATGTTCAAGGCTGTGTGTGGGTGAAGTAACATCAAGCATAAAAGTAATTTATGTAAGATAAAGTTGGCCTCATAAAAGTCTAGGATAATCGCCTCTGTTATCTGCAATTATTGAAAAGAAAACTGTTGCTTAAGAAGCCAGATATTTTATACAACCTCCATCTCTATTCTCTGCTTGCTTAGTTTGGATATTTTATTTTTGTAAAAGTAATTAAGGCATTATATTTTACATTAAGGACTGATGTAATGGCAACAATGGCCTATTTTTGTTTATACCTTGAATAGTATGACATAATATTAACACCTATTTGCTAAAGTGACCGAACCTCCCATCATTCCACACAGGCCTGCGCTGTATATCAGAGAACAAAGTGGCGGTTCTTCTGTTGGCTGGAGGTCAAGGGACACGGTTGGGTGTATCATTTCCAAAAGGCATGTATGACGTTGGCCTCCCTTCCCACAAAACCCTCTTTCAGATCCAGGCAGAACGCATCCAAAGACTGGAACAGCTCGCTGAAAAACAGCACTCAAGGAAGTGCAGCATTCCATGGTAAGATGATCATTAAACACAATTAAAGCTCATTCAGTTACAGTGCACTTACTGTAAAAGCAGTGGATAATAGAAAAAAATCTGTCATTTTCAATCTCACTGGAAAGGAATTTGAGATAACAATTGTTGAATCTAATTACTTGGATTAGCAGACTTGTTTTGATCTTGAGGAAGTTTTCCTCCTTTTACCGTAATGAAGTGACCTCCCCACTATGAATGTCAGTGCATGGTTTAGTCAGTGTGAAATTGGACTGACATAAGACCAGCATGTCATCCTGAGGAACTTCGGTCAGACTTCACCAGAAAAATAATTTTAGAGCCAGTCTCTACCCAACAGAATTGACCTCTGACACAACACATACACATGATGCCCTAATGATCAGCTCTAACTTTAACTCATAATTTAAAGACAGATTATAATACTATATCGCTGTATGATTGCCAAAGTCTTATGCCAACATACTTACATACTAGAACGCCATTGTGTTACCATTATTTTAGTATCCAAAATGTTCCATATCCAGAAAAAAAAAACATTCTAATCCCATCATACTTAAAAAAAAAAAAAAAAACACAAGGTCATAGATTTGTTTTTCCAATCAGAGTACTCACCATGCTCTCCCAGATAATTAGGTGTTAAAGGGATACTCCACTCAAAAAAGAAAATCTGTCATCATTTACTCACCCTCATGTTGTTGCAAACCTGTATGAGTTTCTTTCTTCTGCTGAACACAAAGGAAGGTATTTTGAAGAACGATTGGAACCAAACAGTTGTTTGGCACCATTGACTTCCATAGTAGAAAAAAAAAAATACTATGGAAGTCAATGGTGCCAAAGTTCCAATCGTTCTTCAAAATATCTTCCTTTGTGTTCAGCAGAAGAAAGAAACTCATACAGGTTTGCAACAACATGAGGGTGAGTAAATGATGAAAGAATTTTCATTTTTGGGTGGAGTATCCCTTTAAGAACTGTCTCTGACATGTTTGCATTTTTTTTAATCTCCAGTTTGAACTTAATCTTTTTTTACTATTCAATTCAATTCGCATTTATTTGTATAGTGCTTTTCACAATACATATCGTTTAAAAGCAGCTTTACAGATAATGTGTGATTCTACATTACGATTTAGAGTTATCTGTTATCAGAAGTGACTGTGTCCTAGTAATGTCCATATTTCAGAAATGTACAGTTCAATAAAATAAAAATCATGCAGTTACCGGTAGCTAACATCATGTATTAATTTTAGGCAGAAACAATGAGCGTTTTAAAGCAATTATTACAAGCTGTGATCATAATTACGATATATTGAACATTTGGCAGGTGTGTGTTGATGTAAAAACTTCAAAAAATTTTACAAAAAATGTCTATTTCAAATAAATGCTGTTCATTCTTTTCATCAAAGAATCATGAACTAAATGTCATGGTTTCTACAAAAAAAATGAACAGCACAAAAATGTTCAATTGTGACTATTTATTACTTGAGCAGCAAATCCACATATTAAAAATGATTTGTGAAGGATCATGTGACACTGAATACTGGAGTAATGGCTGCTGAATATTCAGCTTTGCCATCACATGAATAAATAACATTTTAAATATATTAAAGTGCCCCTATTATGCTTTTATGAATGTTACCTTTCATGAGGGCTTTTCACACTGTGTGTAACCCCAGGTTTTACTTTTATGTGTGCTTTAACGTTTACACGACACTGTTTTCATCTAAAAGCTTTTTATGCGTTTTACACAACACAGGAAGTTTGGGGGCCTGACTAATTTAGAATTTTAATCATCTCCGTTTAAACTACAAAATCGCGAATTTGTGAAAACTGTGATGTCATGTATGTGTTACGTGTTCAGTCAATAGGCGTGTAGTGTTTCTTTACAACAAAGTTTACAATCACCAACTACTGGCAGTGGCATGTGGAATACAGCGTTTTTAGCCTTTTCCGCAGATCCATGTGAACGGATTGTTTTGACAATGGTGTCGTCTGTACGTGAAAACTGCGAAGGAAAAACTTTCCCATTTTACTACATTGTTGTCGTGTAAACGTACCCTTAAAAGCGGAGTTAGCGCTGCTTTTAACCTGGGTTTTTCCACGTTAACCCTGCCCTGCATTGCGGTGCCAAATTTGCACAGGTTGAAATGATGCGGTGTTTGAACGTTACAGCTAGATGCTTAACAACAGACACTCAATCACGTTCTTACATTTACGGGCTTTGGACGTCACGGAAACACTGCACATTGTATATAAACAGTCAATTCTGCGTTTTTGCATAATAGGGGCACTTTAAAATTTAACAGTTAGTTTGTAATTCTTTTGCAATATTTCTGTTTTTACTGTACTGTTTTATTTTTGATCAAATAAATGCAGCCTTGGTGAGCGTAAGAGACTTCTTTCTTTCAAAAACAAACTTTTGGACAGTAGTGTATTCATACTTTAAGCAATGACATGGTCAATGTTTTGATACATCAGGTACATTATGACAAGTGGCAGAACAATGGACATGACCAAAAACTTCTTCAAACAACACAACTACTTCGGCCTGAAGGAAGAGAATGTGTTTTTCTTTCAGCAAGGCATGCTTCCCGCTGTAGACTTTAATGGGAAAATTATTCTAGAAGGCAAAGGCAAACTGGCAATGGCACCAGGTGAGTTTTTCAAAGCAAGATTAGCATTTCTTGGTGACAACTATAAGCAATTTTTTTTTTTTTTGGTTTTAAAATTCACATACGATGTATGACTGTAAATAGTTTAGCATGTTGTCGAACAAAACGTCAAAGTCTCTTTAAGTAATCTTAACAACAGAACTTATTTTGCTCAAAAATCAAAAACACTTTTCTAAAAACCTATTCGAAATTTCCCAAAGGAACTACAGGTTAATTAGCCTTACAGTTACCCAGTGATATCATGATCAAACAGCTTGCTTGGTCTCAGAATAATTAGAAATACTGTGAATATTCAGCACTTGTATGTTTTCTCTGAATCTCCATATTCAGATGGAAACGGGGGCCTGTACAGAGCTCTGGGGACACAGAACATTGTGAAGGACATGGAGACGAGAGGAATCTCCTACATCCACGTCTACTGCGTAGACAACATTCTTGTGAAAGTGGCCGACCCTGCTTTCATTGGCTTCTGTACACTTAAAGGAGCAGACTGCGGTGCAAAGGTCAGTCTTTAACATACCTAGCCCTGCCCTTGTATGTATTTCCTCTTCTATGCATCATGCAGAAAACATGCAAATACAGTTCTATTACGAATGTGTACTTGGTGTATTATCATTAAGCTTGTGCACCTTTTTTATCTGTATTTGTGGACTATTATACCTTAATCTGATTATTTAAAAAAAACATTTTTTAATGGATGTAAAAGTGCCATGTCACATTTAAAAACAAGACATTATTTTGCTAGTCCACTAGATGGAGCAGCTGCTTAGGAAAAAAAAAAACCGGATGAACAGGAAGTTACACTACCATTCAAAAGTTTGGGGTCAGTACGATTGATTAAAATTAATACTTTTATTCAGCAAGGACATATTAAATTGATCAAAAGTGGCTGTAAAAACATTTATAATATTACAAAAGATTTCAAACAAATGGTGTTCTTTTAAAAACTATTCTTTTTATTAGATATTAAAATGGAAAACTGTTATTGTAACTTGTAAATTGTAAAATTACTGTTTTTACCATATTTTGAATAAAATAAATAATCCACAAAAAAAATCTTACTGGCCCTAAACCTTTTAACAGTAGTTTGTGCATTTTTTTTTTAATTTTTTTTTTATTGTTACACATTGGAATGATGGATGCATGGTTTAATATGGTTTTGAAAGACTGGAAATAAGAATTTGATTCAATACTGATATATTCTCAATTTCTTTTTTAGAGACTTTTTAAGTAGCAAACTATTCTCATCTAATTGTTAACCTAGTTGTTAAATGATGTTTATAGGAATGTTTTGATGGGACCCAGTAGCCTGGGAAAACCCAGACAACTTCCAGCAAATTTAGATTTGCTCTGAAAGTTAGTCTGGCAAAGAGCTCATTCAAGCCCATTTCCAATCCGCCGAAATCGAGGCACCAATCAGAAACCTTGGGGCGGGCTTTACACGATGACGACAGCGCTGGGATTTTGAAGCAGATTTTGTAGCCTACATTACAAAGATGGATGCCGCCGTCGAACATCACTCGTTCGAATCGGCTATCGCGTCTGTTTTAAGCGATTTGAACGTTTCCTTTTTGTTAAAAACCGAGCAAAGAACAACACTCGGAGATGTGTCTCCGCCGCTCTGCATACGTCATCTCCTTCATCGCTCTGATTGGTTTTAGGTCTATCCGCGACGTCCGTTGGTGACGCCCCTCTGGAAATGATTAGTCTATGACGCTTTCCCAGGCCATAACTCAGTTACAACTGAGAATGGTCTGGTTTTAACCAGGCTAGGGACCCTGGGCTTTGCCGCGCATCCTATAGCAATGAAGTGTGGTTCCTTAGAATGCAGTTTCAGGTAACATGTTCACATGTGCTTTTGCAGTCTGCGTACACAACAGCAAGAAGGGAAAATACTTTTACAAGGAACAGTGGTTATTCTGGACATTTTAAATGGTCTCCAGTCAGGAGCTAAATTGCCTTTAAAACTCTTATATAACCAGCCTGGTGATGCAGGATACCAATTAATTTAGCCATTATTCTCTGTGTAACCTCACAGTCTTTGACGTATTGTAGTGGTTATTATGATGCAATGAAAACCAAATTGCTATGCATACATGTTTAGTGTTAACACTTTTCTTTCTGTTTTTACACTTTACATTTAAATTATCAGGAATAAACATGTTTGTAACAATCATTCGACTCAGATATCCAATACATATGAAATGACCGAAACTTCACAGTAGGTGTGTTCCTGAAGAGTATGCATTAACACAAGAATGAAACTCACCATGTTTTACTTGTGTGACCAGTTAGTCATGTAATGTCTATAGTTATCTGGAAGTGCTTGTTTTGTTACGTCTGAACAAATATTACTTTATCGTATTCTTGCTGTATTTATTCTGCTCTGATTTTGATTATTTTTCTCTGTTCTCTCTGAATTTGGATATTTGTTTTGATTGTTATTTGAAAGTGAAGAATCGGTTTTGTATTTCACACTGTGAACAAAATGCTTTAAGCTGCCTGTGATTCCGCCTCAAACTGAATCATTGGCGTACAAAATGTGATTCATGAAAGTATTTCCATGTGATATTAGGTTCAGACATAAATACTCAACAGCTGGTTTTGAATACTGAGCTTTCCGAAGCTGCTAGTAATTAAACTGTTACTGTGTGACAGGGGGACGATGGTAAGAAAATCTGGACCCACCCACCCCTCATCATTTCTGAAGCATGCACTTATTAAAGTGGCTTTAGCTCGAAGCCTCTCCTCAATGCTAACCCTTCATCAACTGAGAAGTTTGTAATTTGTTACTCGGATGAATGGAAAGGGTTTTCTGCTTTTGCCTCTGCTGTAATTTAACACAGACCTCAGGCAAACACAGCACACATGAGTGTGTTCAAACACTGTAGCTAGTTTAGTACTTGACATTTCAGTGTTGATAAATGTCTCTTTTCTATTAAAATTCATTTCAATGTTAAAAAGACGTCATAAACAAACTCTTTTATACTTGGTTTTATTACTTGACAAGTTATGACAAATTGTTATCAGTTGACCTGGTACAATCTTTATGACCGCTGATAAACGCAAACTAAATCAAATTTAATCATTACCAAGAGTTTACAGGGTTTGTTACAGTAAATTGTTTTTGGTCTTTTTGTATTTCCCATAACTGATTTAAGGGAGGGAGGGAGGGAGGAGATTATTTAAACATTTGTGTTACTGCAGATGATGATAAATGACCAGTATTAAAACTCCTTAAGTAAATTTAGGCATCAAAACATTATAATGTACATTACCTTTCAAAAGTTTGGGGTTGGTAAGAGTTTAAAAAAAAAAATATATATATATATAAATAGTCTATTACACTCACCAAGGCTGTTTTTATTTGATCAAAAACAGTGAAATTGTGATATATTATTACAATTTAAAATAATTGTTTATTCTGATATGCAGATTTGGTCTTCAAGAAACATTTTTATTTATCACATTTGAAAATAAGTTTAGCCGTTTAATGTTTTTGTAAAAAACATCATTTTTTTGTTCAGGATTCTTTGATTTTATAGAAAGTTCAAACGAGCAGCATTTATTTTTAATATATATATATTTTATTACAATGTTAAATTCTTTACTGCCACCTTTGTTCATTTTATTACATCCTTGATGAATGAAAGTATTTTAAAAAGGAAAATCTTACTGACACCAAACTTTTGAAGGTGTAGGTTCTTTAGATATTCATGTTATTGCCGATAAATGGCTGATAATAAAATTGTACACTTTTTATTTTATTTTATTTTTTTATAAAAAATTAAAAACACAAAATGTAAGCACCAAACCATTATAAAACTTGATGTGCATTTATATTACATTAACACTTTAATAACACTAATAATTTAATTACTGTTGAGTGTTTCTAAAGATTCACTTTAAGTGAATGCTAGATGATCTAAATGTAAAATAATAAATAAAATAAAAACGGGACATGACCCAAGTGATTTTGAAGGCAAACTAATGTTGCAGGTATTGCATGTACAGGAAAGTATTGAATACATTGACATTTTGAAATTTCTCAATGTTGGGTTGAAGTCACGCATGCATCTACTTCCGATTGGCAGGTTGTGGAGAAGACCAATCCAACAGAGGCGGTGGGCGTGGTCTGTAAGGTGGATGGGCTTTATCAAGTAGTGGAGTACAGCGAGATTACCTTGGCAACGGCAGAGAAGCGAAGCACCGATGGTCGACTTATGTTCAATGCTGGCAACATAGCGAATCACTACTTCACCCTCACATTCCTCAAAGAGATTGTGAGGTTAGTCAATCCTCAGAGAGTACCTCATGAATGATGAGTCCGCTATTAATGTCACTGTAATTTAATTAATTTATATTTTTATGCCCAATTTTTATTTTATTATTCATCTATGAATCTCAGCTTTTTTTCAGCATTTGATTATATTTTGTCGCTAGGCAATGATTTCCGTAACATATTAAACAATACAGCTATTTCTATTAGCTATTTCCATTGAGCTTTGCCATCTTGTAAATACTGGACAGGATGGATCTGACTTTAATGTGCGCAGAGAATGAGGTAAAGTCAGGAGAGGAACATCTGCAGTTTTTGAGTGTCTCTGGTATTTTAAACACTGATGACTTTTCCAGACGTGTTCTCTTATTGTCATTTTTATGAAATTTTAACTGAAAGAACATGCTTCACTTTTCTGTCTGTTACTGTCTGCCCGTCCATCCCTCTGTCTTTATACCTCTCTATCTTTCTTTTAGGACTCACGAGCCGCAGTTGCAGCATCATGTGGCACAGAAGAAAATTCCCTACGTGAACACACAAGGGCAGCTAATCAAACCTGACAAACCCAATGGGATTAAGATGGAAAAATTTGTCTTCGACATATTCCAGTTTGCCAAGTTAGTTTCAGGACTTTTTGTTCATTCCTGTTTTCAGTATGTGTGCTGTTGACTGGAATGGTCCTCACTTACCCACGTTTCAGTGAACTGACTGAGTTCAAATAGATTCTACAAGAAGAACTCAACACTATTATGAGATATGAAGATCCAGAGAGTCTCCAAAATCTCTTAAAGACTATAATTAATGCTAATCATATACAAAATAAGTGTTATTTATAGCATCTTTTCGGCATGCTAAAGAAGTTAAAATTATATCTATTGAACTGGCTTAAAATTGTCAAAATCAAATAAAAATATCAAATGCTTTCAAATTATATAAATGTTTCTTAACTAACCTTTATAAAAAATAAATAAAAACAAAAGTGGTTCAGGGATGACGTCAAAACCCGGAAGTCTAATTTGCCACTGGCACCCTTGAGATTTTCCTGTGGGGTTTTATGATGGGTTTTTTTTTATTTATGAGAAAAAGAAAGCCTGTTAGTGATAAACTTAACTTTATGATACTTTGACGTTTTGTGCTACAACCTAAATTACACACACACATAGCAAAAATGTTAATTTTGAAGTGTCAAAGTATCAACAAGTTATGTTTACCACAGGCTTTATGAAAAATCCCTTTATAAAATCCCATAGGAAAATCTCAAGGGAACCAGTGGCGAATTAGTCTTCCAGTTTTTGACGTCTTCCCTGCACCACTCTATGGAGGAAAGTCCCTCCAGGTGGGCATTACTGTAAGGGTGTGACGTCACGTGAAAGCTATAATTGATTGGAAATCGTCTTTAAAAATAAATATTTTATTTTACACAATACGTATTGCTTCAGGCATGTTCAATTAGTTATAACTTATTGAAACTTTTTTTTGTGTGCATGACAGAAAGTTTGTGGTATATGAAGTTCTAAGAGAAGATGAGTTTTCTCCGTTGAAGAATGCAGACAGTCAGGATGGGAAGGACAACCCCACTACAGCCCGTCACGCCCTCATGTCCCTGCATCACCGCTGGATCTTAAATGCAGGAGGGCATTTCGTTGATGAGAATGGAACCCGCATACCTGCTATACCCAGGTGAGACAAACACTCAGGAATGAAAATTCTGTCAGTATTTACCCAATTTGGGGTTGTTTTTAAACTCTATGGTGTCATTTTTTTTTTCCCATGGAACACAAAATGAGAATTTCTGAAGAATCCTCACACAGCTCTTATCCATATGGATGCAGGCCTATGGATTATTTTAATATTTTACTTGAACCTAGATTGTCTCCAGTCCACTCTTTTATTGTTTCAAACATTTCCTTCCCACCTGTGTTCAGTTTAACTCCCATTTATCTTCAGTTATAGTGTAACCACACTATATTTCCTGTGTAACATTTCTAGACATGGACCAGCAGGGACAGTCACTCCTGAAGTCAGCCAGAAGTAACTATTCTCACTGTCGTATTTAATGCATGGTGATGGGGCTTCGCTCTTAGTAGATTACGTGTAGCTGTTAGAGCTCAGTGGGAGAAGATGTCCAATCCCAGACAGGCCGTAGTAAAGGTTGACATCTTTTAACTGGCTCTGACCCAAAAAGCAGCTACTAACAGGCAGAATAATATGCATGTTGGGAAATGGGCATCAGGCATGCTGAACAGAATAAGGCTGCTCATCAATATAACAAATAATCTGGTGTAGGTGCTTATAATCAAGTTTTCTTGAATTTTGTATTATGAATATTTAAATGCATTCAAAATGGTTGCATTTTGGATAGAGTGATTGTGGCCGTTTAAATGGGTGAATCATTTGTAATGGGATTTTTATTTTTTATTTCAGAAGGTTAAGTCTAACCTTCTAAGTTTTTTTTATTTTTAATTGATATGAAGTGTCTGATTTTCTAAAATCATTTTATATCATACGTATATGACATGATTAATGCTTGATCTGGCATAGTCATTAATACAAATAAAAATATATAACCCATTTTGGTGCTCTGCCGATCACAGCCTGAAGGATGGAACAGACCTGCCAATCAAATGTGAGATCTCTCCTCTTGTGTCCTATGGTGGTGAGGTAAGAGTAATAATCCCAGAGTAACTTTACCTGATATATGGTTTAGGTGCAAGTGGGAAAAAATACATTCTAAGCCATATACTCTACTTGCAAGTTTCTATTTAAAAAAAAAATGAGGAATTAATAGTCTCTCTTGATTCCAAAGGGGTTGGAGCATCTTGTGAACGGGCAAGCTTTCCAGTCCACTCTGGTCATTGATGAGAAAGGCGTCCATGAACTCGTGAAGAACGGCCTGTGAACATACAGCCGGCTGCTGCACTTAAAACCAAAATGAAAACTCTTGATCTCTTTATCATCTTCATCTCACTTCCTGCCAGGGTGGAGGAAACTGTGAAATTAATGTACAATAAATTGAAGGAACAGGGGCAGAATGCTAATCACAATCAAACCCTTTTATGATCAAACTATTTATTTTGTGGAGACTTATTTTTATATTAATGTGCAGTGCTTTTTTTTTCTTGAATTGGGGCATGAATTTAGCTGTTTAATTTATACAACAAATGATACACAATGGTATATACTGTTCTGCAGGTTGCATGAATGGACACCGCTAAGATTATTTTACAAAATATAGATGCATGTGAAAACTTCACAAACCAAAGTGAATGTCTGTTTTTAGCTGGTTTGTTTTTCGACCAGAAAAAGCGAGTGAGAATGTGACATTGCATCAGACTTTCCAGCACAGGGTTTATGGGAGATGTTCTGATTGGTTGGAGTCTCTTTTTGCTTTAGAAAGTGTGCACTCACTGAGACACCAACTCTTTCTCCTCACTCTTTATCTCACTTGCAGTCTTTAGCACTTCTCTTCTCTCACTTCCCGATTAGCCTTTGTCTGCATCATCCAAGTTAGTTTATTTGTGCATATCCATGTATTAAATAATTTATCATGTTGAAAGATTCATTTGTTTGTTTACTTTTTTTCTGCATACTCGTTGCTTTTCTCAGTAACCATTTATAGGTATTTATTGATTTACATTTGTACAAGATGCATGGAAATAGGAGAGTTGTATTGTGTATAATTTGACATTTGAGAAAATGGAAATGTCCACATTGCTTCAATTTTCGCATTGACTTTAGCGAGACAAATGCTTCCTAGATTGAAGCGTGATTAGTATAAACAGGCATATTTCAAAATCTCTTAAGCATGATTCCCCACCCCCAAATCGTGTACATTGCCACTATAAAGCAATGCAAATCTAAGAATTCCAACAAAATATTTTCAATGAAAGTATCAGTTTTTGCCACTTCATTTGGTTCTCCATGAATTCTGAGATTATTTCTGTGTACACTAATACAAAAAAGCTCAATAGAGAAATTAAAAACATATTTTCAAAAGTATCTGTTTATATTAATCACGTGCTTGAAAGTTATTCGAAATATGTTTTGACCTAGATGCATCGATCTCAATCATGTTTATAAACTGGGAAGTTAGAGAAGAAGTCCTTTGCAAATTAATGTGCAGTGTTGGAATCAAGGGGATGTTTTAAATGAAAGGCCTTTCAGATTTAAAATCGAGGCCGCTTGCACAAATGTCGATGGTTTGGGAATTGGGATCAACTTAAGTTTTGTGATGTTGATGGGTTTGGCGATCTGTGACTTGGAATATCCTCTTCGTATCCTGTCACTTTTGTGCACTTGAGGAAAAACATCAAGCCACGCAGAAGGTTAGTGCACTGTAGCTGGCTTTAGATAATGACAAGTAACTCCGAGGCCATTCTTTAGGCTTTTAATTATGGTAAAATGTTAGCTTTTTAGTGGTAACCATATCAGGCCATGTCAGTTGGCTATATAGAACTGTTTCTTTAGATCAGTCGAGAAGTTTTGAATTCTTATTGCACACATTTTCTTTTATAACAGTAGTTCTGTATCAGTTTTCCATCTATAAATTATTATTGAGTATCCTGTCCCTAGCCAAAGCTAATGGTGAAGAAAAAAAAGTTGGGACTGCTTTTCTCATTATCTTGCAGATTGATTTTCCACTATAGAGATGGAGGAGAAATTTAAAGGGGAAGGCAAACTAAATTCAAAGAAGTCTACCTAATAATCACTTTTTTTTTTTTAATAGTTGAAAAAAGATAAGGGTATTTTAAATCCCTCTTACTATGTGAAGCTCAATTGATAAACAATTCCAGAGTTACAACCAGAACTAACTGAGGCACCTTAACCATAGTTTTCAAATAATTAATTAATTTTATAAAAAGGTTTGCAAATAACAGTTTGCAAGATAAATACAAACAAACGTACATTCATTCACTGCTTTTCAATCAATTTTTAATGACTACCTCCTACTAACATTAGTGAGCTCCAACACATGGCTGTGGAAAATAACTGATCATATGAACATGACATAAACTTTATACTTCCTGTTCTTGTCACTTATCACTTCACTTCTGAATTATTCTTATTATTAATTATATTTATTTTATTGTACATGGCATGCTGTTGGACTATTAAAAAAAGAATATTCAAGAAAATCTTCTCTGATTGGTCACAGGAGTCTGACTTAATTGAAACCTTCTGCATGGCAGAAAGAATTCTGGGACTTTGGCATTTTCCCAAGAATCCTCAGAATGTTAGTTTTTTACTCTCTCTCTCTCTCTCTCTCTCTCTCTCTCTCTCTCTCTCTCTCTCTCTCTCTCTCTCTCTCTCTCTCTCTCTCTCTCTCTCTCTCTCTCTCTCTCTCTCTCTCTCTCTCTCTCTCTCTCTCTCTCTCTCTCTCTCTCTCTTTTTTCCCCTTCATCCAGCGGTGTCTTACATCAGCTTACTGTGCCTGAATGTGAGAACTGAGGGAACTTCGGAGAGAAAGAAAAATCCTTTTTATCCTTTTATTACTCATACAGTACTTGGAATTAGAAAAGCCTTGGACAAATGGTTTGAAAAAAGCAACCCAAGCAGTAAGTTTGCATTATGTCTGTATTTTTCTTTGTTTTGTTTTCTTTTATTTTTATTCAATTTAAAGAAGTTTGGTAATTACCTCTGTTTGATTAATGAGAATTGGGGTGGTTTTAAGATGATTTAATGTGTAACAGATTCAGTGCTGTGCCGTTGTCTTTGTGTTAAGGCTTGCATTGGACAGTCACTGTTTGCATGGCAGACTAAAATAGCGGATAGCAGAGCAACTTGATCTAGTGAACTTTTGCAAACCAGCTGTTCTGAATTTACTTTTTTTTTTAACAAGCCAGCATACATGTTCTAGCTTGTTAAATTTCATATTAGTGTATTTGATTCTGCTTGAAAATTATACATATTGTACGGTATTAGTTTCGCCTGTTGTCCCTCAGGACTTTCTTTCTCATATTTATACAGCTTTGTAAAGTTATGAATGTAGCCCTTTTTGTAGTTGTCAAATTAAGAATACAATATTTGTATTATAAAAACTCTTTAAGTTAAGGTGAGGTATAAATAAAGCACAGTAGAAAACGTATTTGGACAGTTGAGTCAATCTTAAATGTACACTTCAATGTAAATAGTTTTTTGATATTTTGATAAGCACGCCTTTCAAGTCCAACCATTTTTTTATAAAACATACTGTTCATTAGTATTAGTATAGATAAATTATGAATTATACTTGTGGTTACTTTGCTAAAACAACTTTTGAACTTTATACATCCTCTAAAAATTACCTTGAAGCCAACTTGGTTAATCAAGAGAAAATGTCCTTTGTTTTGACATTTTTAAGTGTGATTTACTGTTCAAACACTTTTGGGAACACTGTATATCCTCCCACTGGGCAAATCAACCTGGTTAGCGTAGGACGTGATTCATGAAATCACTACCGGCATTACACAGTGATGACCTTTCCAAGACCTGAACACATGATTTATCTGAACTGCGAATAGTCCGTTTATAAACATTCCTAAATTTCTGTAAGTGTTTATGTACGAAGACGCTAGAGCTTTGTATGCAGCCAAATCTTGTGTGTGCTATATTTGTAATGTTTTGTTCTGATAACAAAAAGGCTATAATGAGGCCTTTTAGTGGATAAAGACCCCCTTTATCTGAGACCCCTGCTACATATTGTATAACACTGGATGTTGCATTTAAGTCAGGCCTATAGTAATACATATTTATTATGATGCTTACATTGCAAAGCTATTATAAATAATAATTATTAAGTCATTTACTTGTACATTACATTTTACTATTTTACTTTGGAACAATGAAACCATTAGCCGAAGTTCACCTTAAAGGTATAGTTCACCCAAAAAAATGTAATTCTGTCATCATTTACTCACCCTCAAGTTGTTCCAAACCTGTATGAGTTTCTTTCTTCTGCTGAACACAAAAGAAGATATTTTGAAGAATGTGGGTAACCAAACAGTTTTTGGGCACCATTGACTTCCATAGTATGGAGGAAAAAAAAATACTACATTACAATGGTGCCCCACAACTTCTTGGTTACAAACATTCTTCAAAATATATTCCTTTGTGTTCAGCAGATCAAAGACATTTATACAGGTTTGGAACAACTTGAGGGCGAGTAAATGATGACAGAATTTTCATTTTGGGGTGAACTATCCTTTTAACCTTACATTTGGCTGCAGTAATTTAATACTCTGTTTGTGCTTTTTAGATTTGTTTTACATCTCAGTCTAGGTACACTGCCAAAAAAATGTTTTGGATAAAAATGTATCTGAATTAAGTGAGTTGAAAAAATATGTCAATTGAGTAAGAAAAATAATCTTGTTTTCCCTTTGAATTAAGTTTATTTACCCCACTGTTAGATCTTTTTTCTTTTTTAATCACTTTGATTTTTTTTTTATTCCAAACAAAACGTAAGATATTCTTGAGTAAATGTATCTTGTTTTAAGAATGTTTAGATATGTGTACTGGAAAACGAGGCAAAATACTATTTTTTTGCAGTGTATTTATTTGTGTTCCTAAACAGTGGCGTACATTTTTTTCATCTTAGACAAGTTTAGTCCAATTCATGGGAAGTAAATAAATGGCATAAGACCCACTGTACTAGAAATCCCAGCTCGTGAGACCACTTCCCAGATCAATGTATTACTGTAAAATCAGAAACGATCTCACTTTTCTCACTGTTACATTGATTCAAGATCTCGATTGAATAACAGGAGAGAATATGTTTGTTAGTGTCCATATACCTTACATACACTCTTTAAGTTTAAATTAAGTGTCACAAAATTAAGTGTCCAAAAGAAGGTTTTCACAGTGATGCCATAGAATAATAATTTTTGGGTCCCCAAAGGACCTTTCAGTGAACAGTTCTTAAAAGAACCATTTATTGGCTGGTGTTGGAACAGGAGGAATGTCAATGCAATACTTTTGTCACCCAGAGGCTGGTTCACTTTATAATCACAACCCTGTTATTCATAATTCTATTCGCATTTGGAAACAGTTAAAGACATATGTTGTCGTTTTTGCTCTCTATCTCAGCTAACCCCTCCTTTTGCCCTTCTATGTTAGACAGTGCATTTGAGATTTGAAAAAATTAGGGTTATGAAATAAAGGGGATTTATATGTGAATGGAAAATGTGCTTCCTTTCAACAGCTGTGTGAGAAATAGAATATCCCTTCTAATAATTTCTTTAGGTACCTTTCATTTAGAGACTTTGTGAAGTCTTACATTCCCAATGTCACTTACACCTATGTATTTGGATGAGATTTTGGAAAGACGTCATAGAGATAATAGTACCATCTCCTATCTATACAAGGCTTTAGAACAGGTGAAAATTCCTTCTATGGAGAAAATTAAATCTGCCGGGGAAGAGGAGCGGTGGAAATTCCTATTGAAATATGGGAACGCAGTCTTGAACTTGTCCATAGGTGTTCCATTAATGCAAGACGTTGTCTTATTCAGTTAAAGTGCTTCATAGGCTTCATTATTCCAAGTGTAAATTGAACAAAATATTTCTAGAAGTGTCTCCATAATG